TCTCTTTCTTTTCTTCTTGGCACTTTTTCTTCTTCATACAATTCTAACTATTATCAAGCCTCATAGGAATATCGTGGGAGAAGAAAATACAAGTTTCTGCGGCAAACCTTCACAATGAGATCAACCGCTTTGTATGCTGAATCAACTGGACCTGTTCCATTCGCACATGCAATATGCTCTTCCCCCTCAACATCAATGAGTCTAACAGTTGCCATAGGGAGACCAAGAGTTCCACATGTAACCTATTTGGCAAGTATTCAAATTAATTGTTAAGAGTCCCAACTTAATTGAATAATGAACAACGAGGTTGAAACTTAGAAGTAGAGTCTATACGTACTTGAACATCTCCAAGCTTCCAAACAACTTGTGGCTGGAAAACTACATCTGACACCAGTGCTATCAGATCATCATCAGTAGTAATCTGGACCACAACAAAAAACATAAACAGAACAAAAAATTTAATAACAATACTAATAATAATAAGAGACCCGAGTAAAGTGAGGGCTGAGGGAGTGGTTTAGGTTATTTATTTTATGCAACAAATCCAAAAGTTTTAGGTTATTACACCTTTAGCTAGTGAATACTGATGGCGACATGACAAAGACCATGCAACTCAATAAGGGAATTCATGCAACCTTGCGAGCACCCTCTTTATTGATTCTTAAATTGAGGCTAAGAAAACTGAGTATATCATTCCATTTCCAACATAAACAAAAGCACCCAAAATGATTGGCAAAGAATTTACTGCACCTTCACAAGAAGTATGTATTGTGGTTCTACTTCTTGTGAAAGTGCAGTAAATTCTTTGCTAATCATTTTGGGTGCTTTTGTTTATGTTGGAAATGGAATGATATACTCAGTTTTCTTAGCCTCAATTTAAGAATCAATAAAGAGGGTGCTCGCAAGGTTGCATGAATTCCCTTATTAAGTTGCATGGTCTTTGTCATGTCGCCTTTTGTGTCAATGTAAATCAGTATTCACTAGCTAAAGGTGTAATAACCTAAAACTTTTGGATTTGTTGCATAAAATAAATAACCTAAACCACTCCCTCAGCCCTCACTTTACTCGGGTCTCTTATTATTATTAGTATTGTTATTAAATTTTTTGTTCTGTTTATGTTTTTTGTTGTGGTCCAGATTACTACTGATGATGATCTGATAGCACTGGTGTCAGATGTAGTTTTCCAGCCACAAGTTGTTTGGAAGCTTGGAGATGTTCAAGTACGTATAGACTCTACTTCTAAGTTTCAACCTAGTTGTTCATTATTCAATTAAGTTGGGACTCTTAACAATTAATTTGAATACTTGCCAAATAGGTTACATGTGGAACTCTTGGTCTCCCTATGGCAACTGTTAGACTCATTGATGCTGAGGGGGAAGAGCATATTGCATGTGCGAATGGAACAGGTCCAGTTGATTCAGCATACAAAGCTGTTGATCTCATTGTGAAGGTTTGCCGCAGAAACTTGTATTTTCTTCTCCCACGATATTCCTATGAGGCTTGATAATAGTTAGAATTGTATGAAGAAGAAAAGAAAGAGAGACGAGCAAGAGAAATAATCTGCAAGAAAAGAGAGGCACTCTAAAAATTAGGGTTTTCCTCTCTTACCTCAATACATTTGTATTAAAAGGAAGATAAATTAAAAATATAAAAAATTCCCTCAACACAACTTAATACTCCCCATCAAGTTAGTGCATAGATATCTCTCATGCTCAACTTGCACACAATATGATGAAACACCTTGCCACCCGGACTTTCAGTTAATACATCAACTATCTGGTCTTCTGGTTTCACTAAAGCATATAAATCACACTATTATTCAATTTCTCATTGAAAAAATAACTCAACTCCAAAATCACTATCAATGAACAAGCCAGTTACCAATGGCTATTGTTGATAATGATTTAACTATTCGTTATCAACAATCAAAATTTATGGCTTTGAGGACTTGTTTTTCAAAAACCAGAACCAAAGGACTTATTTATCAAAAACTAGAACCAAAGTCTACAAAACAGTTAGTTTAGGAATGAAAAAGAGCATACACGCAATTTTAGTTTGAATTATTACTCAACAAAGCCTCATACCGATAATTTGAAATCAGCCAGATGAATCTTGTTTTGCCATTCGGCTCAATAGTTCATAACTTCAACCAAACAACACACTATCATGTCTTCCTTTACTTTCTTAACCCACAATGATTTTAGCCTTCCTCTTCCTGTGCATTACCCTTAATGAGAACAATGCCTTCCTTCATTACACTATTATTAGTCATTGGTTTGCATGCTCAATTCATTAGTCTTTTTTTCCCCCCATTTTTTCATTAGGTGATACTTCTTTAATGAGTTAATTTTAGTTTGATTACATTTCATGATATATCAATATTTATATTTCACAAGTCTGTTGGAGATAATATATTATGATATCTTCTAATATCTTTGACAATATAATATTATCTCCAACACTCCCTCTCAAGTTGGAAGACGGAATGGTTAAAGTGAAGTGTCCAACTTGAACTCGAAAATGTGATGATCATTACAAACAACTACAATGAAGTTGTCGAAAGATAACAACAATTGTAATCACTCTCTTCAATGACAACTTCAAAGAACATAGGTAAGAAATCAGCATCTTGCAACAAAGAAACGTGCATGGAATCAGTTACGATGGCAACAAGAGAAACCAACTGAGAGAGAGAAAGCAACAAGACCGAAGCAATGACAAATCACCACAAACAGAAAGGCCGAAAAAATGGCATCCCACAAAGAATGCTACGAAACACACCGGTGGCCCAAAAACAAAAAAGAACCAAATATGTGCTTACCACGTCAGCACAAGGATTCTAAAAGGGTAGAGAAGTAGCCGAAAAACTCAGTATATCACATAACAATGCTATCAAACACACTGGTAGCCTCGAAATAAGTAAAAAACACAAAGTTTGCTTACCACTTCAACAAACTATTAGTCAACTTAAGGAAGAGAGAAAGACACTTTGATAACAAAAAAAGGTGGAGTAAGAAAGCACTCTAGAGAAAAACAAGCCTAGGGTTTGGTTGACTCTGGTACTAAGTTTAATTTTGTAATAAGGCAATAAAGTTGAATATGGAGAGAAAATAGAGACAGGAAAATGAAAAGAAATAACACAAAGGCTTAATGTGGTTCGGCCAATATTGGCCTAAATCCACACACACACAAAGCCCTAGGGGCTACATCTTTCATTCACTCAACTTTATACTCTTGTTTACATGATACACTATATATATAGAATGAGAACAAATCATGGGGTCTCCATATATTCTGATATCTTTGACAATACAATATTATCTCCAACAAAGTCTTCCATATTCTTATACCAAGCTAAAAACTGTCAGCCCTTGATTAGATTGGGATGACAGGTTTTACATCATGGTATAGTTCTAGAGTTGGACAAAGAAGTGATTTGTTTGTGGTGAAACCAACCAATATGTCCTTAAGAAAGGGGCATTAAGCTATGCACTTCATGCAACTTCAATTCACATTTAAGGAAACATGTAACAGAACTTCATAGGGGAAATTATTTTTAGTAGACCTTATGGTCCATTCAAGCCGAGTAAGAAGGGATGGAAGCATATTATATGTTCATGTATGATGAAATGATTTAAGTAGAATTACATTCACTTAATCACAATGCAGTCAAAAGAAGCAATGCATTTTAGAATGTACTAAAAAAATTAACAAGTTTCTTGTTTGGCCAAATTTTTTTCATTGAACTGCTGATTATCAGGTGATTACAATATCCTTCAGAGGCATAATAATATAAAAATAGTGGATAGATACCATTTTTTGATAGAAAGCTGTGTTTCTTTTCTAGTTTGTTTTTTCCTTTCTCTTTTTTGTTCTTAGACATGGGAATTTAAATATATATCTACTGTTCATTTGAATCTTCAATTAGCATATCGCAGAGTCATTATCCTAATCAACAAATAACTTACTAATGATTAAGCTGAATCATATGTATGCAAAACAAGAGAACTTCTAGTCTGCTATTGTCAATGTAGCCAGTTTTGTAGCCTTGATCCTTTGTATCCGTTTGGCCTGCTAAATAAGTTCGTAATTATTTTTTTTTTTAGAGTAGAATTATCATAAAAAACTATGGTATATGCTCGGAGAATTTAATATAAATTTCTTGACGAAGAGTGTAGTCTAGGTAAAGTGAAGAAAGGACTCACTATGTGATATTTATCATAAACTTGTTTTAAAACTACTTTTACTGTAAAATATGAATGATACCCTTTTTCAATTATAGATTTTAATGGAAGCTTTGGGGTATTATCAGTCTTTTTAATGTTCTCTATTTTGAAATGAAATGATCTCACAATATGGGCTTTGTTATGAGAAGCCCTTTTCCATCAAGATATACCAGCAGTGACATTTAAACTATACACAGCATGAAACTCAATGCTTGCTCTTTGAGTTGTGTATCTCTTCTTTTGTTGTTAGACATTTATCTCAACTTTGGACATCCATTTTAACTGTGGTCATACCGAATGATTCATTCAGCATGGGAAACTATTTGTAATGACTCCTCTTTTTCCATGTATGCAGGAACCTGTAACACTTCTTGAGTACTCCATGAATTCTGTAACGGAAGGCATTGATGCCATAGCTACTACCAGAGTTTTAATTCGTGGGGAGAACAACCACACATCAACTACTGCTACTGGAGAAACTGTCCATCGTACATTTAGGTGTGACAAGCGCTTGAATCTTCTTTTCTTCTAAACTGGTTTCTCTTTGTTTTCCCTCCAAATTCCCTTTGCTTGAATAACACACATGCTAAGAAGCACGGGCACAGACATGCTGACATGTCAATTTGCAAAAAATATAGGACACGACACTTGAGAGACACACAAAATATATGATTATATATATATATATATATATTAATTGTAATATATATGATTATTATTGCATTCAAAATAATAAAAAAAGTATAACATTAATACTAATTCTTAAAGTTTAAAGGAGGATTTAATAGGCATAAATCTATTATATATTTCTTTTAACATTTTATCATCTAAGTTATTTTATTCAAACTTATAATGTATTTCATGTAAGTGATAGACATGTAGCATCCGAAGCATGTCTAGATCTAAAAAAAAATTTAATGACACATTTGGATGTGTGTCCGACAAATGTTGAGAAGTGTCCAATTAGTGTTGGTGTTAAACATGGACACTCATCTTGTTAGAAGTGTCTGTGCTTCGTAGCACATGTGTATAGATATTTATATGTATATACATAGAAAATTAGATGTTTTGTCATGGTAAAAAATCTTTGGGTTTTAAAATCTGGGAGTTTTAAATGAAGTTTCAAGAATAATAAAAGTAGTACCCTACATTTTTAGCATTCATCAACTTGACATATCGTTAATGTGTCATATATGTGTCCCATATCAGTATCTATATTTTATAGAAAGTCAGGATATATGAATATATATATATATATATATTTAACGAATAAAGAAGTAAATATACAACAATTTTCATGTAATGCTTTTAACTTTGAAAGGGAAAACACACACACATGGAGCAATATAAACAGTTAGACATTGAAATGAAATTTTTAAGGGACCTGTTGAAAATTTAAAAAGTAAATTTGCTACTAATCTTAAACTAATATCTGAATCATAAAGAACATAAAAATATTTTTACAAACGTATTCTAGTTGTACCCTTATTCTACTTTTGTAGGTTTTGTCATATCACCATATTTGTATAATACTGTATTCCTGTCTTGTATGTGGGTCTGTGCTTCATAGCCACTAGCCACATGTTCACCCAGACCGCTCCAAAGCCACACACACACAACTGAATTCACCCAAGCTGGTTTACAGTTTCACCCTCATATATATTTATAGCTATACATATCACACCCTAGCACAAACAAACCATGGCTACCAACCCCCCATCACACGGCGCACACCACGTTAATTATATATTACTGCTCAGCCACCCACATCTGCCATACATTCATCACTCGAAACACACAAACCAGCACCGACCTCACCCTTTCTCTCTTACCTTACTCTCCCATGACACACCATCCACAAGATACTCATACCAGAAGCACATACACGGTGCCATGTTTGGCACACACTCAAAGCACACCATCACCTGTGAAAATCACACATGTGCACACACTGCTCCTGTTTTCTTTACGATACGACAATTGCCAACATGCTAATGAATTGTTTTCTTATGAAGTCAAATTTTAATTTTATCAAATAAAGTGACCAGTTGTGTGTGTGCATAAGAGTTCAATTCCACACAAAATATTTAAGCCATTAGAATATGCAATATGTGGACAGTTAAATAGATGCAAAATAAAAATGCCAAAATTAATTATTAAAATTAACAGGAATCTCACAATCTGCTGCCTTGAAATAATTTCGTCATTGACATTTCTAAAACTCACTTAAACATGTAACAGTTTACTTTTTAAGACCAAGGAGTTAGCCTCATGGTTGAGGTGTTCCCTTACTTGGTGTGAAGCCTACGTTTTAGTCTTAACGTTGCGAATGTAGGATTCCTTACCCTATTCCCTTTCCTTCTCTTCTTTACCAAAGAAAAAGAAAAACTATATACTTTTAAAATATGTTATTTATAGAAAAATGATTTATCAAAAAAAAAATGTTATTTATAGAAAAATGGGTATTACATCATGTAGTTCACAATACTTACATATAGATATACTTTGAAGGGTATGAAAGTATGCCATTTATGAGTTTGATTATCACAAATGGCATAACTCAATATTATGGGAGTCATAACTAGAAAAAAATGAGTTATAACTAAACAACACATAAGATATAACAAAGAACACTTGGATCATAACCAAAATAATGTCATAACCAATATTAGAATGAGTCATAATTAACAACACAATACCAAAGACACAAACGTCATAACTGGGGGGTGGATGCGGTATAGAATTTTGCTACTTTGAATCATATGATTTATTCTCTTTCTTTTGGCGACAGTGGAACTGGGGCAGGAATGGATATTGTTGTCTCGAGTGTCCGAGCATACATTAATTCCTTAAACAAGATGTTAGGTTTCAAGAACCAATCCAAATCAAAGGTGAATGAAGGAAATTCTCAAGTGTCAGCATGAAGATACAAGGAATTAATTTTGTGTTTTCCATGTTAGTTGTACTAAATAGAAGAGTCAGTTGATTGCTTTTTCAACTCTTCTCCTTGATTTGTGCTTTCTAGGGGACAGTTTTTGAGGGTGCTTAAAAAACCTGAAAAATGTGTGATATAGACTATTTGTTGAACATCTTATTTTAATCTGTCGAAAATTACATTTGGACTTAAAAGCAGCTGCTTTTGAGAACCATTCAGACTTTTGTCTGCTTCTGAAACATATATATTGTTGCAGCTATTATTTATTGTGTCCCTGTTCATCAAGGTGACCAATGTCTCCGGGTGTTGAACTGATATTTCTATTACATCTTTTATTTTCTCTGTGTGTTTTGTTTGTTGTATTACAATTGAAGTTGGCTGTGTAGCATTGATGACATTCACATTAATGAGAAATCTTACGTTTGAGAAATTAAGATTTGATACTTTAGGCTATATTTGGTATACAAGAATGGCATGAAGTGAGAATGGAATGACTAATCTCATTTTTTGTTGAAATATAATTCCCACTAAAGTCATTAGACAGAAGAAAGAAAATGCAATGTTGGAATGAGTCCTCATGGATAATAGGATAATTTTTCAATTCAATTTAAGAGATTTGGGACATCTTATAAATGTGAAATTGGTGGACAGAATGCCTTTTTTTTTCCCTTTTCTTTTCCCCTTCTTTTTATGGCTGGAGAATTGGCAACCTCTTTTGATCCATTGTATAAACTTTTTTTTTTTCTTTTTATGGCTGGAGAATTGGCAACTCCTTTTGATCAACTGTATAAAAAATTTGGAGAGAGAATTGTCTACGAAGTAAGGTTGTACAATAGAACCCTTCTTTTTAATTTTCTTATTTTGCAAACTCGGTAACAAACTAATTTGATAGTTGAGTTATTCCTATTATTTAATTTAGGTAGATCTATTTTAAATATTAAGATTTTATAAGCAAAATATATATATATATATATATATAAAATAAAAAAGAAGTTTTGGCCTTAGCAAAGGAACGGAGTTATTCACCAAGGTTCTTGTGGTAAGTTGGCATGTAGTTGCATTTTAGAGTGCAATGAGAAAAAGTCAAGAGTTTGACCTAATGGAGTAGCGATGACTTTTTAAGTAGTACATTAATTTTACTAAACAAATTAACAAATTGTTTCATGTTGACAAAAAAGAAAAAGAAACGAAGGAATAGAGTCATTCAATAGATAATTGCTCATGCCGCCTAGTTCTCTATATGGTTTCCCTCTGCAAATTGAATATTTTACCCTAAATCAATTTAGGGAAGCCATTAGAACAAAATGGAGCAGCTTGGTTTTGTTGGGTTTATACAAAATATATATTCCCAGATGAGTCTTTTTCATGTATTGTCCCTTTTATGTCATGTCAGATTGGCTACGAGAGATTGAAATATTAAATTTAATGGTTTGTTTGTTTTAGTAGAATATTTTTTTCTGTATTTTGGAAGCATATGATAGGATGAAAATGGAAAGTAACTCCCCTTGCATATATATGGTGTTAGAGGTTAATTGTTAGTGTTTGAGAGTTCAGTTAGAATGCTGAGGGTTGGGCAACTTCAATGGTGAAGTCAAATTTGTGCTAAATTTGGTTGAAAGTTTGACAAAGTTACTCTCGGTTATATTATATTTGTTGTCAAAAATCTAACTACTCCTATTGAAGTTCGAAACTTCTACAAATTAAACTCACAATTAGAAATTCTAAAACTATAGAAAATTCTACAAATTTTAAAAACTTAACAATATCAAAAATTATAATTACAGAAATTGAATAAAAAATTACATTGATAATCATAATTTATCCATATTAAAAAAAATATTGATACTTAATTGGACCAATAATTTGGTTGATGAAGATGTGAAATATGATTGTACCAAAATAACAAGTTATTATTAGAGTGGTGTAACTATTTTTGACCGTTGGGTTATTACTCCAATGGTCATTGCAAAATTAGCAATGTTAAAGCTATTTTTTGGCTAGTTATAGTACCAAATTTTTTATTTTTTGACAAATGTTGCTTCAATGGTGAAGATTGGAGAGAGAAGATTTGATAATGAATCAAATTATAGCTTTGATAATGAATTTTACTATCCATTAAAAATTGACGGAATCGAATTGAATCAAATCAAACCGATTGCTTGAGATCGATTGAAACTATAGTTTTAAGCAAATTTTTCACAATGTACAATTTGTTTCGGGTTGAGAAATAAAAATTACACTGATATTGACCCAACTGATTGAAAATAATAGTGAGATTGGTTAAGATAATTTAATGCATCCTTAACACTTGCCTTAAGGACACTTGTTAACAAAATCTAAATAGATTAATTCTCTTCTATAGTCAGTTTGTTCTCTCTTCTCTAGCCATTGTCCAGCACTGACTCTAATCACCATGATTCAATTCTGCTTCTGAAACATATATATTGTTGCAGCTAGGGTTTATTGTGTCTCTGTTCATCAAGGTGACCAGTGTCTCCTGGTTTATTTTTGTGTGTGTGTTTTGTTTGTTGTATTATAATTGAAGTTGGCTGTGTAGTATTGATGACATTCACATTAATGAGAAATCTTACGTTTGAGAAATTAAGATTTGATACTTTAGGCTATATTTGGTGTACAAGAATGGCATGAAGTGAGAATGGAATGACTAATCTCATTTTTTGTTGAAATAGAAGTCCCACTAAAGTCATATTAGATAGAAGAAAGAAAATGCAATGTTGGAATGAGTCCTCATGGATAATAGGATAATTTTTCAATTCAATTTAAGAGATTTGGGACATCTTATAAATGTGAAATTGGTGGACAGAATGCCTTTTTTTTTTTCCTTTTCTTTTCCCCTTCTTTTTATGGCTGGAGAATTGGCAACCTCTTTTGATCCATTGTATAAAAAATTTGGAGAGAATTGTCTTCAAAGTAAGGTTGTACAATAGAACCCTTCTTTTTAATTTTCTTATTTTGCAAACTCGGTTACAAACTAATTTGATAGTTGAGTTATTCCTATTATTTAATTTAAGTAGATCTGTTTTAAATATTAAGATTTTAAAAGCAAATATATATATATATATATATATAAAATAAAAAAGAAGTTTTGGCCCTGGCAAAGGAATGGAGTCATTCACCAAGGTTCTTGTGGTAAGTTGGCATGTAGTTGCATTTTAGAGTACAGTGAGAAAAAGTAAAGAGTTTGACCTAATGGAGTAGCGATGACTCTTTAAGTAGTATACTAATTTTACTAAACAAATTAACAAATTGTTCCATGTTGACCAAAAAGAAAAAGAAACGAAGGAATAGAGTCATTCAATAGATAATTGCTCATGCCGCCTAGTTCTCTATATGGTTTCCCTCTGCAAATTGAATATTTTACCCTAAATCAATTTAGGGAAGCCATTAGAACAAAATGGAGCAGCTTGGTTTTGTTGGGTTTATACAAAATATATATTCCCAGATGAGTCTTTTTCATGTATTGTCCCTTTTATGTCATGTCAGATTGGCTACGAGAGATTGAAATATTAAATTTAATGGTTTGTTTGTTTTAGTAGAATATTTTTTTCTGTATTTTGGAAGCATATGATAGGATGAAAATGGAAAGTAACTCCCCTTGCATATATATGGTGTTAGAGGTTAATTGTTAGTGTTTGAGAGTTCAGTTAGAATGCTGAGGGTTGGGCAACTTCAATGGTGAAGTCAAATTTGTGCTAAATTTGGTTGAAAGTTTGACAAAGTTACTCTCTGTCATATTATATTTATTGTCAAAAATCTAACTACTCCTATTGAAGTTCGAAACTTTTACAAATTAAAACTCACAATTAGAAATATTCTAAAACTATAGAAAATTCCACAAATTTTAAAAACTTAACAATATCAAAAATTATAATTACAGAAATTGAATAAAAAATTACATTGAAAATCATAATTTATCCATATTAAAAAAAATATTGATACTTAATTGGACCAATTATTTGGTTGATGAAGATGTGAAATATGATTGTACCAAAATAACAAGTTATTATTAGAGTGGTGTAACTATTTTTGACCGTTGGGTTGTTACTCCAATGGTCATTGCAAAATTAGCAATGTTAAAGCTATTTTTTGGCTAGTTACAGTACAAAAATTTTATTTTTTGACAAATGTTGTTTCAATGGTGAAGATTGGAGAGAGAAGATTTGATAATGAATCAAATTATAGCTTTGATAATGAATTTTACTATCCATTAAAAATTGGGGGCATTTCCCTAAATATGCTAAAATAGTAAATCAATTTCCAAGCTAAGCCTAGTTTTCAAAGAATTCTTAGAATGAGCTAACTCGCGGTTCACAATCGTGATTTCAACATTTTTCCGCCTGCCCCGCGTGGAAGTGGGCAAAACTTAAATTCGTGGTTACAAAAAGCACTTTCGATTAACAAATCGCGGTTACAAAACGCGATTTTAATTAATTTTTTTTTGCTTTTGAACTCGCTGTTACAAACAGCGATTTTATCCAAAAACATTCTTAATTTTTTTTGCTTTTGAACTCGCTTTTAGAAACAGCGATTTTATCCAAAAAACATTTTGTTCTTAATTCGTTGTTGAGAACCACGAGACCTTTCTGAACTCGCTGTTTGTAACCACGAGTTTAATAAAAATCATTTTTCTTATGAACTCGCAGTTCCAAACGACGTTTTATGAAAAGCAAAAAAAATCATATTCCAAACGACGCTGTGAACTCGCTCTTTGTAACCACAAGTTTAACAAAAATCATTTTCCTTTTGAACCACGTTTTTTTGCCAAAATTTTTTTCTCCTATAATTGTTGTTATGAACCACGCTTTTAGCGTAATTTTTTTTTTTTAGTTTCAATTTAACTGAACTGTAAGAAGAATTTTTTTTTGGTTTCTGTTGTCATTATTTTGGTGATAATGTATTTCAGAATAATTTTTTGAGTTAAAATTGTTTTACTAAAACCGTTCTCATGTTAATTTTTTTTTCTTTTCTCATGTCTTTATTTTGGGTTAGAATGTGTAATTCAGCATTTTTTTTTTGGTTTGACTAAAGTAAATTTATTTTATTTTTTCTTGTGTTTGTTTTGGGTTAGAAGGTAATAATGTAATTCATAAATTTTTTGAGCTTTAGTAAAGCCGTTTTGATGTAAATTTTTTTTTAATTATTATTTCTTTGTTTTGCGTTAGAAGGTGTTATTCAGTAATTTGTTTGGGCTTTAATAAATCTGTTTTCATTTAAATATATATATTTTTTTCTTTTGTCTTTATTTTGGGTTAGAATGTGTAATTCAGCATTTTTTTTTATTTTGTTTGACTAAAGTAAATTTATTTTGTTTTTTCTTGTGTTT